ATTGTACATAGTCGAAGAAAAATATATACATACACTTTTATATCCGAGTATGTGTGCATATATATGTGTGTGTATGTGTACACTTACCATTGTGTTTAAACTTTCCTGTGTGAAGTCAGCCCAATCTCTGCCTTAGCCTGGGTGGGGGTCAATCTTTTATACGTCCGAAGAGATATTAATTAGGTCGGTCTGGCCATGACAAACATAAGCACCTTTTTTAGTCCAAGTCTGTGTGCGTGCGTTCGTGTAATCATCGACAATTATATCTTCATTCTTACTCTTACCCCTAACAATCCTGATTCTAGCATTGTTTTGAGAAGTTTTAGTAAGAATATTGCCATTATTAATATGGGTTGACATTAATATCCACGTTATTACATTTATTTTTATCTGTTTATCTGTGTGTGTGTCGTGTTGTGTATATGTGTTTGTATGTGTGTGTGTGAAATACAACTACTATTAAAAAGAAACTGAAAATTCAAGTTGTGACTTTCTGTGTGTCTACAAACTATATATATATATATATATATATATATATATATATATATATATATATATATGAATGTGTGTATACATGTATAAAAACTTATACACGTATATATCATATATATATATATATATATATATATATATATATATATATATATATATATATATACATATATATATATATATATATATATATATATATATATATATATGCGTGTCTACAGAATAGATATATATATATATATATATATATATATATATATATATATGTATGTGTGTGTGTGTGTGTGTGTGTGTGTGTGTGTGTGAGTGTGTGTGTATGTGCATATGTATATTATATAATGTATAGGTATATATTTGTATACAAATGTATGCGTCTGTGTATGTATGTATAATGCATATATATATACATATATATAAATTTATGTCTTTGTATGTATGTATAATGTATATATAATCATATTCATATACGTATACATATATATATATATATATATATATATATATATATATATATACATATGTATATATATTTAATCCATACATATATAAATATATCTATCGATTTACCTGTCTGTCCATATGTATATATATATGTATATACATGTGTGTGTGTGTGTGTGTGCGTGTGCGTCTGTATATACGTGCGTTTGTTATATATATATATATATATATATATATATATATATATATATATATATATACATATATATATATATATATATACATATATATATATATATATATATATATATATATATATATATATATATATATGTATGTTTCTATGTATATATATATATATATATACATATATATATATATATTTTTTTTTTTTATTATTATTATTATTCCATGCAGGCCATATGCCTCTCTCAATTTACTATTGAGAAGTTATATGGCAGTGCCACCCTTGCCTGATTGATTGCCTTTCTTAATGAACCGCGGTTCGGCACGCTAACACTTGTGCCACGGCGGTGACTTCCCCTACGACACCTGCGTTTGACTTCTCAAGGCGATATGACGTTTTCTCGGGCTCGAGCCAGCAGTCAGAGTGTAGGGATTTTTACTACTGCCGTGACGGGGAATTGAACTCGCGACCACGAAGGCAAGAGTATATATACACACACACACACATATATATATCCATATATAATTCCCTCATTGTTTTCAGATTCTGAGACGTATCATGTTCAAACAGACATGCATGCACTCAGTAACTAAAAGATTGATTTGTACAACTTTTCGTTTCAGTGAATAATGTTCAGGCAGTGTAGAGGAAAGCATTTCTATCAGCTGACAAATGCATGATATCAACCCCCCAGAGCTTACCTAGGTTGACATCGCCCAAATCTCAGGTCCAGCTAGATTCGGATGCCAACCACACATTTTGTATACTGAGGGAATTCCAAACCATAAGCACGAAGGTATAAAGAAAAAGAGTGTTAGCCCAATGCCTGCGCGTTTATGTGCTGCCCCCTGTAGATTTTTGTGAGATGTTGCATATAGATGGCTTCACGTGTGCTCAGCCACCAAGGAGTCTATCAGTAGGCTCTGGTGACCGTGCCTGATTTCCCCATTCCTTGAATTTGCGGGAAAATGTGTTTTTCAATACTATTAATATTAATATCTTTGTCATTCTTACTGATATTATGATTAATATTTGTTATCAGAATATCAATAACGTTAAAAATGATAATATTCAAATGAAGCTTTAAAAATCAAGGAAAAGAGTAAGCAGGTGAGATAAGACTAACATATGCCTCCTTGGTGCCTAAGCACTTGTAGAACCATCTGAAGACAATAGATGAACTTTTTTTTACCTTTTTGTTAAGCTTATTAGTTCGCCAGTATTTGTTACTGAGCTCGTTCGACACTGACTTTCTTTATGCAAGCGTTTCGTCAATTATAAATATTAATATCATACTGTATATTTACAATTTGTATAGATTTTTTCCTATGTGCGAATCAGAGTCTGGGGTGAGGTACCAGTTTCTTCTTTTCTGAGATTGGACGGAATAAAGACTAGAACAAGAGGAACTTCCTGTACTGTGAGTTTACTGTTGGAACTGGTTCATTTTTAAGAGACTTTTTTCTTCTTAAAATAGTTGGGCAGTGTCCAAATTGTCTAAGGGTTCAAGAGTATTTCCTTAAAAGACTTCATTTACATGTATCAGTCTTCTTTAAGATCTGCGATATAAGTCTACTGTGACCGCATTTCTTCGTTTCCGTGTCACGTGCGTTTCTTAGTTTCATTCGAATGACTTATCTTCAAATTTATTATATAAATAAACAGGTACGAAAATAGAAAATCCTATCAACTGCAACTTGTGATGTAAATATATCAAATCAAGTTGACCATAGTTACCAGTCAGTTCATTTGAACGAGGCAGTTGCTTAAATTTTTGAGTTCAGAAATATAGTCAAAGTGTTCATCGTGGGATGTATATCATATACTGTATAATTTCTCCAATATTTATTCATTGATGTTCGTCACAGAGAAATTACTTTCCGTATCCATAACCACCATAGCCTCCTCCGTAGCCACCATAGCCTCCTCTGAAGCCACCATAGCCTCCTCCATAGCCACCATAGCCTCTTCCATAGCCGCCATAATAACCACCTCCATAGCCACCATAACCACCTCCGTAGCCACCATAACCTCCATAACCACCTCCATAGCCGCCTCCATAACCATAGCGACTTGCCAGGACGCAAGCCACCATGGCACCCATTAGCACAAAAGCCAGAGTGTATTTCTGCAATTGAAATAAGAGAATGCATAACTCACAGTGTTAGAACATTTAAGACGATAACACAATGGTAATAATGTCTTTAGTTAACAACTGAAGTGAACCTTGATCATCAGTATAATAATCTTGGTGATCACTATCAACAGCAAAAACGAAAAGATGACACTTGCATATCCATTACTGAATGAGTTCTCTTTATCATCATCATTACCATTATAATCAATATTGCTATTCCTACTAATATGTATGTATATATATATATATATATATATATATATATATATATATATATATATATATATATATATAAAGATATTTACACATAAATAAAGATATATATATATATATATATATGTCACTTATAAAAATATATACACATGGACGCTTACCATTGTGTTTAAACTTTCCTGTGTGAAGTCAGCCCAATCTCTGCCTTAGCCTGAGTGGGGGTCAATCTTTTATACGTCCGAAGAGAGATTAAGTAGGTCGTTCTGACCATGTGAAACATAAGCACTGTTTTTTGTTTTTTGTTTTTTGTTTTTTTCGTAACAGCAGTGGTCCAAGTCTTTGTTCGTGCGTCCGTGTATGTGAAGAGCATCAATGATGATCATAGTCATCGACAATTATATTTTCATTTTTACAACAATCTCTAACAATCCTGATTTTATCATTGTTATGAGAAGTTTAAGTAAGAATAATTCGATTATTAGTATGAGCTGCCATTATTATCCATGTTATTACATCCATTTTTTTACTACACAGACATAAGCATCCCTCTCTTTACATATGTGTGTGTGTTGTGTTGTGTGTGTAATACAATTACTACTAATAAGAATCAGTGAAAATTCAAGCTGTAGCGTTCGGTGTATGTATATAGACAATATATACATATATATGTGTGTGTTTGTCTATAGAATATATATATGATATAAATATATATACCATATATATATGTATATATACAATATACATGTATATCTACAAAAATATATATAATATACATATACATGTATGCATGTATGTATATGTATATTATATGCATATGTATGTATATATACATATGTATTATATAAACCTAAACTTATGTATTTTTATAATATATGTCTATACATATATATGTATATATGATATATATATTATATGTATGTAGACATATGTATATTTATATATATAATGTATATATATATATATATGTGTGTGTGTGTGTATGTAAGTATACACACATATACATATGTACGTGAATATATATGTATATGTATATGTATTAATCCATACCCCTATCTATATATCTATCTGTCTATCTATATGTTTATTTATGTGTGTGTGTGTGCGTGTGTGTGTGTGTGTGTGTGTGTGTGTGTGTGTGTGTGTGTGTGTGTGTGTGTGTGTGTGTGTGCGTGCGTGAGCGTGTGTATATGTTGATATACGTGCATTCACACACGAATACATATACATACATACACATGTATGTTTGTATGTATTTATATTTGTGTATATATGTATATTATGGGTGTGTATGTATAGATATACGCACACACATGCATATATATATATATATATATATATATATATATATATATATATATATATATACATGTATACATATGTATGTATGCATAATCTTTTCACGCAGATGCCTTATGTAGAACACTGCACGTGAGATTTGATCCCACATTCTGAAGGGCATCCTGTTCACACAGACAAACACAAACACTCAATAACTGCAAGATTAACTTGTACATTTCTTTTACTTTTCGTTTCTAAAAATAATGTTCAGACAGCGTATGGAGAAAAGCATCTCTAGCTGTTGACAAATGCATGATATTGTCCCGAAGAGCATCACTTAACAGTCAGTTCCAGCTAGATCCGGATGCCAATCACGAATTTTAAAATTTGAACACGGGGTTTCTTAACCATAAGCACGAAGCCAAAAAAAAAAAAAAAGTTTAAAGCGTAATTGTTCGCCAGCGTTTGTTACTGAGCTCGGTCGAGTGAACACCAACACTGGTTGTCTTCTCTATACAATCGATTCGTTAAATATAGATAATACTGTTGTTCTAGTTACTTTAAGATATGTCTGTCGTCTATAGATTTTTCTCTTGCAACCCATTCGAAGGCCAAATTTCTTGCTATATGTTATTTAACGCGTCTGTGTTTAATGCAAATAATCAAGTTCACACTAGGTTCTTCAAGATGACAATAGAAACAGCAACTAAGTCTTCTTTAGGCATGGTGTCGTTATTCTCTAAGCATTTCGTCAAAACTCGAAAAAAATATCGATGCAGTTACTTGAAGGTATACCATGCATAGACACGACCCATTCCGGTGCACGCCCAACCATCTTGCAATGTGTTGTTCAAAGCTTTTGTGTTTGATAAATGTGATCGTGAATGCATACTATAGTGTAATCAATCTCAGGGAGGATAAATGAAAACTCACTCAAAGCTCTAAAGTACTCCGCTTCGCCAAGTCTTTCGTTCTAATCAACTAATTCATATGTCATAACACATGGTATATCTAAAATTTGTATAGTTTTTTTTTTTTTTTTTTTTTTTTTTTTTTTTTTTTTTACTGTGTGCGAATCAGTGTACTCCGGAGACTGGGGTTAATTGACAGTTTCTTCTTCCCTGAGATCGGATAAAGATTATTTACAGAGTAAGAGGAACTACTACCTGTACTGTGAGTTTACTACTGTATCAAATTGTCGTAAATAGGAGTTAACTTACCTTCTTTTCTTAAATAGTTATCTTCCTGAGATTGGACAGTGTATAAATTGTCTAATAGGGTCAGAGTTTTTCCTTTAAAAAACTTCATTTACTTGTATTAGTTTTAGTTTGTATTTGGCATACAAGACTACTGTGACTGTATTCCATAGCTTCTGTGTCACATGCATATCTTAAATTGTTTCCTTCGAATGACTTATCTCCATATTCTTTAATACAGTTCCGACCAATAAAGGGTGAACAAAATTAAAAGTAAAAAGTAATAAAAAATATGTATGCACATTATAATTTCCTCATTTATTATCGACAAACAAGCAAGATAGAGGATAGAGGAGTATAAAAATCAACTCGACTGCAACTGAATTGTGCTGATCTAAACGGACCAAAAGAGTTGAATGGAGGCGATTCCAAAGTCGTTTATGGTGTAATTATATCATATCGAGTCGACAACAGTTCTCAGTCAGTTCTTTTGAACGAGGCAGTTGCTTTAATTTTCGAGTTAATAAATATAGTCAAAGTGTACATTATATCATGTATATCATATACTATATAACTATATCTCTAACATTTATTCATTATGTCATCAGAAAGGAATTACTTTCCGTATCCATAGCCACCATATCCTCCTCCGTAGCCACCATAGCCTCCTCCGTAGCCACCATAGCCTCCTCCATAACCTCTCCCATAGCCACCATAGCCGCCATAATAACCACCTCCATAGCCACCTCCGTAGCCACCATAACCTCCATAACCACCTCCATAGCCGCCTCCATAACCATAGCGACTTGCCAGGACGCAAGCCACCATAGCAGCCATCAGCACAAGAGCCAGAGTGTATTTCTGCAATTAAAATAAGAGATTAAGCGTTTGTATAACTCAGTGATGGAACAGTACACTCGATAACATGACGATGATCTCTTTATCATTATCATAGCTATTAACAATATTGCTATACTTGTTATTAGATATATATATATTGTACATAACCGCAGAAAAAAAATATATATACATACACATTATGTGTGTGTGTGTGATATACGTGTTTGTGTGAATGTGTACGCTTACCATTGTGTTTAAACCTTTCTGTGTGAAGTCAGACCAATCTCTGCCTTAGCCTGAGTGGAGGCCAATCTTTTATACGTCTGAAGAGAGATTTTTTAGGTCATTCTGACCATGAGAAACATAAGCATTGAGACATTTTTCGTAACAGAACAGATCTAAATCTGTGTGCGTGCATGCGTGTGTGTGTCTTTATGGCAAGATGATCACTGTTTATTACTATTATCATTACCATATAATCATAATATTTCTTTTGATATGATGATCATAATCAACGACAAATATATGTTCATTCATACTCATGTCCCTAAAAATCCTGATTTCATCATTCTTAGTATTTTAATACGAATACTACCATTATTAGTATGGTTCTCATTATCACCGATGTTATAACATTCATTGTTATTGCACACGTATATCCATCTCTATCTCTTTACACACACACACACACACACACACACACACATATATATATA